ATTTCTTTTCTCGTATGACTTTCTGTATGAAAATGTTATGCAAATACACTGTATATGTATTCATATTATAATATCGTTGAGAGTCTCTCTGGTATTACAAGAATATAGTAATATCTAAATAATTCATAAAATAATATACCAATAAATATAATCATAAGTTAATGAAATGGAAGTCAAAAAAGCAAATCACTTATTGATTGATCATTTGAATAGTTAAATACATAGTGTTTTGCAAGACTTTAATGGCTATCGACCAGAATATGTGACATATATCTCAGGATTTATAGATTATATTTATTTATATAATAAATATATGGAAGAATTATGTATCAACTAATTAATGTGAATGTTATAATCATATACATAAAGCCACTTAATATTCACTAAGAATTCAATCCAATTTTAGTAATTACCGTAATATCAAATATACATTTCAATATACTTTCACTTATGATTTTTTCCATAAATAACCCCAAAAATGTTGGAATTTAATTATGTTTTATAGCTTAAGATTAACGTTATCTCAAATGACCAATCTAATTTTTCAACTACTTTTGCTTTTTGTTATGAATTTGTGCTCAAAATTGGTTTTTAATGACAAAAATCAATTACTCTTAATGTTTGGTTGACTAATATAATGGATATAAATATCATGTCTTTGTTTCGTAATAATTATAATAAATAAATATTCAATAACTGTCGACTTAAACACTGCATTCATTATACCATAACATATTATAATGAATTACTTAAATAATTGCACTTAAATTCATAATTCAATAAAACATATGACGATATAATAGTGTTTAAGTCAATAGACATTGAATGGCATTTCAATAATCAAAAGTGAACTCAATATTCAAACCAATTGTTGTGTTCGGTTCGCCAATTAAAAACCAAACTCATCTCAATAACTTTGAATTGGGTGTGAATATAATGATAATTAATGAGCAAAATTGTTCGGATTTAATCAGGATAAAAATATTTATATATAAATAAAAATTAAATATAGATTATCTGTATATAACATCTATACGCCTACAGGTGCTCTACCGGAATATACATATTATGTTTAAACTTATACTTAATTATGTATTTAATAGTAATTAATTCGTATACTTTTGACGATCAATTAAAAAATATTATCATTATTATTGTTATTATAATAATATGTTTAATGATTAGAAAAAATTAATTATCATTTCTATATTCTCTATAGAAAAATAAGCGGCGATTAATATATCAATAATTGAAACAAAGAATTAATGTTGAAAAATGAAATTTAAAAATATATTTATATTTAATTAATATGTATTTTCGGTATTTATAATGTTTTGTGTGTTATAATGACTGCCAAATCAAAGAGTGATTTGTATTATTCAATATATTATATATAATTACTACTGTAAACGACTTATCAATAGCTGTTTAGTCCATTCAGTTTGACTCAATCATCATCGGGTCGTCTTGAGGGAGGGGTGGCCTCCGTTTCTCCACTTCGCTCTCGACTGCGGCCGTCGGGACAGTCAACGACGCGGTGCTCGCGGACCGGACAACACCCGAGTGAACGGCACCCCCTGTGCCGCCAATTTGATCGCCGGTGCCGTCAATACTGCACTCTTCGTCGTCGTCATCGAAGTCGATATCGTCGGCGATGTCTTCGCAAACAATGGTCGGCTGTCGTCGCGGAATCTTCTGCTGGTCCTGTCGTTCCTTCAGATGTATTTGCGTCAGTCTTGACGACAATTCAATGGATTCTTGGGTCGATTGCGGCCCCGATTGGGATGCGCTCGAGTTGTTGGGCTTGAAGTGATTGGTGGTCGCGGCGGACATCGTTGAAGTGGCCATCATTTGGTCGCCAATTGGGTTATTACAGACAATATAGTATCTCGTGATCTGTTGTCCACCCGTTTCGGTATCGATAGTCATTCACACGCTTTTGAATGAATGACAAAAACACGTCAAGAATAATGTCTTTATATATATTCTGTGTGTTTGTATTGAATCGTTTGGCCTCTCCTTCTGACGTCTGAACACCAAAAATATAATTACAACAGAAATGAAATGTTTGTTTCAAATTGTGAATCAATTAATTATTCATTTAATAAATACTATACATTCACTCAAATGTAATATAGATTTATTGAAGTGAAACACATATGAATTGAATGCAATTACGTTTTCCCAATTCATAAGGAATTATATGTTATGTGAATAGGAATTGAATTATTAATACAAGTAATAGAATTTGGTCTTTAGTTTTCTCACTGTTTCTGTCACTAAGTATTCAAATGTATCGACAAATTCTTGCGCTCAAAGAGGGAGAGAGAGATAGAGAGAGTATATGTTTAAATGCATGTATGAGTGAATGAGAGAGAGAGAGAGAGAGAGAGAGAGAGAGAGAGAGATTGCGTGGACTGATAAGAATATAGTCTTTAATATTATTGACATTCATAATAGTATTCAATCAAAAATTCTGTGTTCAATAGCGTATGACTTACTGTTAGTTAGAGAGAGAGAGAGAGAGAGAGAGAGATTGCGTGGACTGATAAGAATATAGTCTTTAATATTATTGACATTCATAGTAGTATTCAATCAAAAATTCTGTGTTCAATAGCGTATGACTTACTGTTAGTTATGATTGCATTTTTTGTTAGACATTATATATTCTGTACTCTTTTCACTGCTCGACACACAAAAGAGTTTGTAATATAATTATAAGTTTGCCTTTCATTCACTTACACATCAAAAGGCATATAAAAAAGCGAATCATTTTCTTATTTAACCAAATATTTGTATGTATTTATACAGATCTTGAGCTCATTTTGAACACTTCAAAACACTCCCAATGCCTACAATTCATACACTATTTCGCCTAAATTCACAAACAATTTTTCACTCGCATATCATTTGCAGACAAAACTATCTCACATGTCATTAATTAGTATACAAAATATTAGCATCAAAAACAGACACAATATATACATAAATATATACAATTGGAAAGAAAAAGAGAGCCGAGAGAGAGAGAGAGAGAGTTTTAATTTAAATGACTGCACCGTCAGAATGATAAGACATTTCGTTAATTTATTTTTATTTTTAACGATTTAATGTATTAATTCTTTTGCCACTATTTTTCACATATTATACACACATTTCGCACGACAATAGTCTGTCTATCATTAAAACTAAATTAAGAGACAATCAGTCTATAAATATCTCTTTCATTGTTTGTAATGTATTACATGTAATGTATAGTCAATGTATATACAGTATAGTAAGTCAGACGACAGTCATTTGTAATATAAATTATTTTTTGTTATCGTGTAATAAATTATTTGATATATACATATTAAATATCATAAAATATATCACTTACTTATTGTGCTAAATGACCAGAATTTCAAATACACCGCTAGAATATACGGGTATTTATACCGCAAACGTATAATTAATATGAAAACGTCGAGAATAAAAACCAATTTAATGGATAAATTGCACTAAAAAAGTATTGATGTTTGATAAATATATTTATAACACTCGGTAAAAATTATTTATTTATAAACACATTAATAATCGAGCGTTAATAATAATTGTACGGCAAATAGCAACCAACATGAGAGAGAGAAAGTGAAAATCTCTCAAACAAATTACTTGGTAAGCGTTTTCAATCACACAGTTTCATACAATACACTGAATATTCTGGGTTTTGAGCGCCGGTATGGATGGGTGTACTAAACGTTAGACACAAATATATAGCTGGGAATCGTAGCGAATGGTGTTTTTATATATATTTAAAAAACTTTTTTATATATTTTACGAGACGTTTAATAAAGAGAAAGACAGCGAAAGAGAGAAGAAATATTTTTTGGTTCACAAAACAAAAAAAATCGGAAAAACTATTACTGGTATTGACGTCAGTCCTTCTCCACAAGAGCTGTACTCCGACTCGGATTCAGTCTTTTAGAGATAATTTTAATCAATCAAATCGTTTATTCTTGTGCTTTATATATAGTGTACAAAACACTGTATAGTGTATAGCAATGGGATATTTAGGACACGCGCACTGCCATAGGCTGTGATGGGGACAGTTGTCTATGGGGTTGAGAAGGGAGAGCGAAAGGGTTTACGTAATATTCTCTCTCAATAGTGAAATATTAGACGAGTTGTATGAAAAGGTTGGGCTTATTATGTGAGCTCATGGTTAACGTGTCTATACTTTTATATATTCCGTTCACTTGTATTACCACTCGTTATACTTCAGTCAATTCAATGCGATTACTAATACCTGACGTTTGATTAACACATATTATACATGTATATACACATCGATTGCATATAATATTGAGAGAATTGTGCAAATTGTTTGTCAGGTGTAGGAAATGATTGAAAAAACAAATGTATTTCAAACCGATTGCTTCTTTTCATATGGCATTTGATTTGATTTTTTCTCTCGTAATTATTGTTATCTATTAATAGCGTAAAAATGCCATTAGTTTTTAAATTGAAATTTTAATGACTAATCATTAAACGTATGGATGTTTTATATAAATGAAAATTCTCGCGAAATTCAGTTATTTTTGTTTTTTGTAAATTCATATGATGTATGAGAATGCGAGAGAGAGAGAGAGAGAGAGAGAGATTGCGTGGACTGATAAGAATATAGTCTTTAATATTATTGACATTCATAATAGTATTCAATCAAAAATTCTATGTTCAATAGCGTATGACTTACTGTTAGTT